AAGAGGAGGACGCATCGAAAGCCTGTAACCCGTCAGTGTGGGACTTTAACCCGAACTACGAACTAAACCTCCTCCTGTACCGTTTTTTCCCCCCGGTACTACCGTAAAGTATTGCGTCGGGAAGCGGTGTGAGCACTAAGCAGTTCAGTCCTGATGCAGTGAGTGAAGTTGCATCTACTTCACCCGCCCCCGTATTTGTCTTACATGAACACCCCCCCTGTCGGATCAGCTAACCACCACCCACCATTTACTATGTCAAACTCGAAATTGGATGTATTAAGTACGTACCTGGGAACCCTAAGTCACGTCTTTGGTCACAAGCTTATGCGGCGCCTGTCGTCGTCTTCCCTCAACCGCCTGTTTATGTGGGAAATCATGTTTGCAATCATATTCCAATTTCGTTCAGATACGAGCATGAAGTCAACGATATTTTGCGGGCTTGGGTTTCCGCCAGTTTCCTCGGCTAGCCTCAAAGCGCAGTTAGTCAACGACGTAGCGTAAACGTAGGTTGACGTACGTAGCAGCATATCAAATTTCCTGTTGATGGAGAGAGAGAGAAGCAACGGCAACGTCACCGCCATGCGGTGGTGAGGTTTCGTTAACACGCGAATCCCATAAGGTAGATCGTGTCTGCGTCAACCTACGTCTACGTTACGTCGTTGACTGTTTGAGCTTTCATTCTTTCAGCGTTGAAGCGCGGGCAGCTGAAGAACACATGGCAGGCGTCCTCGTTAACGTTGCAGACTGGGCACATATACATATGTACATATATGTACATACAAGCATTTGTGTGTGCGTGCGTATGTTTATGTGTAAGTGTGTACGTGTGTGTGTGTTTAGTAACCCTGTGGGGAAAATCTCTAGTTCTGAACTGGTGCGCTTCTAGTACATTTAGACCCAGTACTGGTTCGCGTTAAATCTCTTTTGCATGCAAGCAACTGGCGAATTTAGCATGGCGATGTCCTAGGAAGTGTCAATTACCCCCCGCTGCATCCCTTTTTCGATAGTTCCAAACTAGTCCTAAATTCTATAGTTCCGAACCAGTTCTAAAATCGACAGACTAAAGAAAAAAGTATCATGATTTTTCAATCTTTTTGGTTCTTCCGTGTGTGCGATTTTAAGTTATTTTTGAAGAAATGTGTTTTCAATTTGAAATTAAATTTGTTTGAATGATTGTAAGAAATGTACGTTTACATACCTCTAGCTGTAGCTGGGTTGGCATAGGTGCTCGCTGTTATTTCTTAGATTCCAGACAGTCCCAAGATGTTGAAATTCAAACATAAATTTTGGTTTTGTATTACCAGGCTATGAAAAAGCATCTGCGAAGCGCAGAATAGAAGCGTTTTGAACGAAAAGCCGCCGAACACATATCTATGTAAAGTAAACAAGCCCCCCCGCTGCATCCCTTATTCGATAGTTCCGAATTGGTTCTAAAGTCGACAAATAAGATCTAGTTCGTTCTGCATCCCTTTTTCTATAGTTCCGAACCATTTCTAAATTCGTCACTTTAGATATAGATTTCTAGTGAAAAAAACAGAAAAAATCAGGGACCGTAACGGTTATAAGTTTTATTATAAAAATCACTTTTTAATTGTTATTAACTGAGTTTTATTTTTTGCTCGGAAAATAATCGTTACGTTTTAAGTTTTATTTTTTGCTCGGAAAATAATCGTTATTTCTTGAGTTTTATTTTTTGCTCAGAAAATAAAACTTTATTTTTGCGTATGCGTATGCGCTTTTTTGCACTTTTTTTTAGAAATGTGGTTCTCTCTGTTTCTGCCCTGGTATCTGTATTTTCATTACCCACTCCACAGTGGCGTTAAAGGTTCAATGCAGCCGCCCCCTGTCTATTCACGCATGCGCATACGCATACTCAAAAATTAAGTTTTATTTTCTGAGCAAAAAATAAAACTCAAGAAATAACGATTATTTTCCGAGCAAAAAATAAAACTTAAAACGTAATCATTATTTTCCGAGCAAAAAATAAAACTTAAAACGAAACGATTATTTTCCGAGCAAAAAATAAAACTTAAAACGTAACCATTATTGTCCGAGTAAAAAATAAAACTTAAAACGTAACCGTTATTTCCCGAGCAAAGAATAAATCTCAAAACATAACGATTATATTCTGAGTAAAAAATAAAACTCAAAATATAATGATTAAACTTGATTTTAATAAGTAAAAATTAAAAAATTTAAATCAGTGCCGCTAAAGGTACTCCGAGTAATAAGAAATATATTGGTTTACTCCTTATGTTCGTAGCATTTCTCTTTCCGCGTGATTTTTTGAGTTGAAATTTTAAAGGATCATCGTTATTTGCGGTCCCTGGAAAAAATTAGTTTTTTAAAAGTACCACTTTTCGCCGATTTTGGACTGGTGGGGATCTAGATCCTATCGGACTAGTTCCTTTTTGGCGATAAAGACCTAGTACGGAACTAGAAATTTTATTCACTAGTTCGCGGTTTTCCTGTAGGGAATTTAGTGACTATCTACATACATAACGTTAATATAGGGGATTATCTTACAGCCCGATTCTGTGCACTTGATAAATTGAAAATCTTTATAATT